TGCTAACAACATCAAGGTCTACAACAAAGGATTCTTTGTATCAGAAGCAAGACACCAGCAAGGGAGCAGCTGGATGACAATGAAATAAAGTGGTACTAGAGGATATGAAGATGCAGAGAAGCTGCATGAATTCCTTTCATATCTGTACTGCAGGATATTTGTGCCTGAACTGATGTTTTCAAGGAATCTAAGAAACTTAGGCTACTAGGGGTGGAAAAAAAAGTTTTCAACCTTGCTGACAAAAGTTAATAAATCACCAGGCCCAGATGGTATCTGTCTTAGGGTTCTTAAAGAGCTCAAATTTGAAATCACTGATCTAACAAAAATATGTAACATATCCCTAAGATCAGCCTTTGTGTCAGCAAACTGGAATGTGACCAGTAAAACAACTTTTAAAAGGGATGTGGAAAATTACAGGCTGTTACCTTAACAACTGCTAAATTGGTTAAAAGCATTATTTAAGATAAAATAAGCAAGCATGCAAAAACTAAACCACAATGAAGAAGAATTAATATGGCTTCTGCAAAGCCAAGTCCTGCCTCACCCACCTTTTGAGTTCTTTGAGAGTATGCACAGGTGTGATCTGATAGACATTACTAACTTGGACTTCCAAAAAGCTTTTGAGAATCCATCACCTGTGAAACTTAGCAGGCAGTCATAGATTAAGAGGGGAGGCCTTCTTATGGATCAGTAATGGGCTAAAGTACAGAAAGCAGAAAGTATGGATGGATAAAAACAGTTGGGTCCCACAAGGGACTAACGTGTTCCAGTGTGTTACTAGTTGATCTGGACATCAGAGTGAGCAGTGAAGTGGTCAAGTCTGGTGACAGCAAATTATTTAGGGTGGTTAAAATGAAAAGAGGTTGTGAGGAGCTTGAAAAGGATATTTTCAAAATGAGAGATGGGGCAACAAAGTGGCAGGCATAAAAGTGATGCACACTTGGAGCAAAAAGTCACAATTTCAAGTATAAACTGATGGGATATATTCTAATGGTGGCTGATCAAACCAGGATCTTGGAGTTGTGGTGAACAGCTTGATAAAAATGTCAACCTAGGGTGTGGTAGCTGTGAAAAAGGAAGATTCTGTGTTGGACATAATTAGAGAAAAGAACTGAAAATAAAACCACTAATCATGCTCCCACTAGAAAAATCTATAGTGCAACCATACTCAGAATACTGTATAGAGGGCTGGTCATGGCACCTAAAAAGGGATATTGTAGAGTTGGAAAAAGTGCAAAAATTACAACTAGAATGATCAAGAGCCTGGAGAAACTTCCCTATGAGAAGTTATGATAGCTGGAATTGTTCCGCTTAGAAAAAATTAAAGAAGTCAAGTAAGGAGAAATATGCTGTAAAGGTGTACAAAACTATCCATGAAAGTGTAGAGAAAGATTTTTTTCCTCCCTTTCTCATAATAGTAGAACCCATGGCATCTATGAAACTGTTGGGTGGGAGACTCAGGACAGAAAAATAAAAGGAAATACTTCTTCACGCAACACACAGTTCAACTATGGAATTTATTTCCACAATAGACGGTCACAGACACCAAACTGAATGACTTTAAAAAGATGGAGTTGGATGTTCTCTCAACTGATAACCCTGTGTTGATTCAATGACAATCAAGTTCAGATGAGGATGTTTCAACAGGAATAGTGTATCCTGCTCCCAAACCTTATACATGGTCTCCAAATGCCAAGAGGTAGGGTGAGGTTGTTTCGGCAGCTGCCAAGACTCTGTTATCGCCTGTCGAAGAGTAGAAATGAATGACAGGGCAATTGGGACCGAGTCTTCTTTGCGAACCGCGTCATACGTGCTGTCCCGGTTTGTGTCGGTAAGCTGCTGCACATCGCTCTCGAGAGAAGAGGACATACGAGTGAGCAGCTCCAAGAACCGACCATGGCTGTCTCTGGGAGATCCTGGAACCTGGATGGGGATCACAGCATCAGGAGAGGTGGAAATTTGCTGGGATTCCTCCGAATCCAAATCGGACTGGTATGGAGGGCTGGAAGAAGAGCCGTCAGGAGACATGGGTGGATGGGCGAGCGCCGTAACGGACGTTGATGGAGCATCTCTTGACACCGATTGAGGGGTGCGGTGGTGGTGACGTGGTGGTGGTGGTAGGTAATAGCCAGATGAGGGATAGAAATCCCACGGATATGAATGATCCATGAGATTGGGATCGAACTCCCCGTAGGGTAAAGCCACCCAGTGCCATGAAGGTTGTGGTGCAGAAGGTTGCGGAGGCAGGAGGGAGGAAGGGTGATGAGGGGCCTTTGGAGATCCCTCTGGAAATGAATGCCTGGCAGGTGTTGGAGTCGGTAACCTTGCAGATTGTTGTTCAAGTCCCAACTGAGGTGGCAATCCACGCATTTCTTTGTCTGAGATAGAGGCTCGAGCCAACAGATCCGATTGGTCAGGACTGGAGTGAGGGGAGATGGTGATCCACAGGGGTGATGCTGGAGGCATCACCTGCATAACCGACTAGTTATGCACCAAGGCAGGCAAATCAATTGCCTCAGAGCGAGGCACTTTAGGATGCTTTTTGTGCCGACACTCAATCTTGTCAGATCTGTCCTTTATGGGGTGTTTAGATTTTGAGGCCTCATTGGATTCGACATGCATCCTCTTCTCCTTATGTTTCTTAGGAGAGTGAGAAAAGCATTTTCTATCAGGACTGACAGTGTCCCCTTCAGATGGGCGAGAGGGGGAGCTCTTTGAAGACCCAGGAGCTGCAGAGGAGGCGGTATCTGCTGTGACCTGCTTCATAGCCACTAAGGCTTTGTCCCATAACATTTTCTACAGCTGATTTTCTCAGTTTTTCTGAGCCTCCCTGGTGGAAGATTGGCAGTGGCTGCACTTATCCGCCCTATGTCCCTCTCCTAGGCAGAGGAGACAGAGGAAGTACGGATCAGTGGGAGACATTTTTGCTCCGCACTGGGTGCACTTACGAAAAGCCGCCAGCTGTGCCATCGAGAGAGAAAGGAAAGAGTATAGCAGTAAGGTAAATGATAGAGAGGTTTGGGGGTTTTTTGGAAAGGGGTTGGGGGGGTAGGGGACAAAGATTATGAAAAAGGGGTTCGGTAAGGGAGTGAACAACTGGGAAAGGAAGTTCGAGAAGGGTAGAAAGCAAAAGAAGTTTAGAAGTAATCGAAGAAATCGAAGCAAAGTATTGAGAAATACAGACGAGGAGACAAGCAAAAAGGCCCGAGGCATGGTGAATGGCAGTCGCAAGCAGACTGGTGAAGGGGCAGGCACTCCACCCATTTATACTATGGTGGGAGGGCACAGAGTTCGCACCAAAACTGTTAAAGCTCTTAAATCTTCCTGGCAACAGGCACTGCACAGGCACAGCACCCATATATGTGTGATGCATGGAGACCACGACAAAGACCTTTATGGAGAAGAATGCTAGCAATGGCTACCAGTCCTAATGGCTATATGCTGCCTTCAGTATCAGAGGCCGTTTGCCTAGGTACCCCAGTTGCTAGGAAACACGAGCAAGAAGTTGTGGCACTTCTGTCCTGCTTGTGAGTTTCCTGCAGGCAATTTGTTGGTCACTCTGTGAACAGAATGCTGGCCTGGGTGGACCCCTGGCCTGGTCCAGCATGGCTGCTCTTGTCTTCTTATGGTCTTAGGGCACCATGATCTAAAGTAACAAGAAATTAGGTCTCAGGAAAGTTTAATTTATACTGCAGATTAATAGGAACAGGAACCTTCTCTAGGTCATTTTATTCTGATGGAAATGCCTAGAAGCTCTCAAAGGTGGTGACTGATAAAAGACAGTTTTTAAAAAACTAAAAATTGTAAACATGTAACATTTAAGACATGTAGGACAGAAGACGTTCAGAAATATCACTTTATCCAGCATGCGGGTTGCATGCTGCTCTCATTTCTTTTAACACAGCACTAGGAGGCTGGGCGTGTTCAAGGTCTGACACGTTTCTGTATGGAACAGCTGCATGCAAAGACCTAAAAGCATGATAGGGCTACCCCCAAACTGGTGTTCCCCAGATGTTTTTCACTGCATCTGCCATCATACCCCAGCCAACACATCAATGGTCGTGTGGTCCATTGTATTCTAACACATCTGGGAGCCACCAGATGGTTAGGGCAGGCCAAATTAGTCGCTTAACAGCTTCACTCAGGGCTGAATTACACATGGGTGGGGGAGCTCCATAAGTGAATTTCCTGGCATTTTTTTAGCCTTAAAAGCAGATTTGGGGGGGGGGGGGGGCATTTGAAGTGTGGTGTGGAGGATATGCATCTATCACCCACACACACTCCATTCCCGCACCCACAAGCTGCTATAAACCCTGAAAATGAAAAGAGGGGGTATAGCGCACAGATGCATCTCCTCCCCACACCACCATGGCTATGGTAGAGTTAAACCCCATCCTCTGGTGGCAAACTCAAATCCCAGTCAGCTCATAAGGCCAAAACAAGAAAGGCATCAGGAAATCTAGTCCCAGACTAACCTTCCTGCCTCATGTGCAGTTGATCTTCAGTGCTAACTTTCAGCCCTGTCCAAAAATGGGTCAAGCCAGAGGAAATTGTTTAAGCTGATTTCATCCCATCAAAGCGCTTGAAAATGGATTTAAACTGGCTTAAATTTAATTAGTCTGTGATTAGACATAGTTAAGTAAAGTAGCATCAGTTTCCAGGGTCTTAAGGCTTTGTCAGCTTTGGTGTAAGAGCTGCCACAAAGTTGAACTATTGTTCTCTTTAAACAAATGATGGAGAAATTCCAGGTCTACCCTTTAAGTCGCTGATCTTTAAAAATCAGTTCAAAAGTGAAAAGAAATATATAGATTCAGCCTCTTTTCCCATTTGAATTATTTTCAACCGGGTTTGCAAATGGCCAAGGTAGAAGAGGTGCTTAAAATCAACATTTCCAATTTTATTTTTGCATCTTGATAGTTTGAGCATAAAACAAAAGAACCTTTGAATCTTATTTAAGAGTGTCAGTGATCTCTTTTCTGAGATTGTCAAATATCTGGAATTTATAGGTAAAGGTATCCAATCCAATAAACAAGGTTGAATAGGGCAAAGGCTGTGGGAAAAAAGATCCGAGAGTAGGAGTCAATTTTAGCCACTCGGATGTGTATTCTTCCTTCTTTCCAAGACCCCGTGCGGCAGTCATCGAAGCAGCAAAAGAAGCTGGTGCAGTCTTTACCTTCAAGGCACTCATAACCATAATTATCATCACGTTCCTGAAAGTGACGGATACTGTTCATTGGAATTAACGTTGATCCAGGGCGGACAGGAAGTACAGGCGGATTCTAAAGAAAAGAACAACTGGTTAAAATTTGGCTGCTAAGGACTAGCTAACAGTAGAATAGAACGGGGCGGGTGAAGCATTTCAGTCTATATATGCTTTAGTATAGCTTATTCTTGAAAGTTCTTCCCAATAGTAATTCCCTGAAATTCATGGGGGTTATGTTCCTAAATCTCCTGCGAATTGTGAAAAACTGCAAATTTGGTGCTGGCGATGGGCGCCAGCCACCAAGGCAGTGTGGGTGGCGGGTGCAGGCACAGAGATAATTTTCTCTGAGTGAGTCCAAACTCGCAGGAAATGATCTCCTTGCGAGTAAGCTGCCACGTGGCGAGGCGCTAGCTTACTCGCAAGGAGATCAGCTTGGACTTGCTTGGAGAAAAATTCTGCGAAAGATGAGCCCACAAATGCTGAACCGCTACTTCACGGGGGTATACTGTATCATCTTTTTCCCTATGCTAACACACAGTATGCATTCTGACACTGTTCAGCCCTGGGATTTGGGGGACAGGCTGAGATTCGGGGACATTCTTCTGTCTAAACTGTTCAACTGTATCACATGATTCTGATGTAGGCATAGATCACCTCTAATCAAAGCATGCTTTGTTTATTCATACTCACAACTTCATTGACTCCTTCCTTCTTGTACCAGTCACCCCAATTTCCTTGTTCTTTTGCTCTCTCTACTATCCTTCCATCACTTTCTCTTTCCCTGTATCTACCCAGTAGGAATGTGTGAACAATCTATTTCAAGGTAGAAAATCCATTTTCTGTTTGCTGTTTTTGTGGATTCTGGTTCACTGCCCATTCACTGGTGTCCACTTGCTACAGTAACAGTAAATCAAGCCTGTGGCGTTCCATCTGCAAATTTCTGTTTGGTTGAAACCATCAATGGAATTTACTAAACCCAGTGCTGCAAAAATGCATGTTTTCATGGGTCTTGCACTAATTTCCCTGAACTACATGGTTTGCCTTGTGCAATTTTACATAAAAATAGCCACTGTAGCACTAAGCAGACCTGGAAAACATGTGGGTTAGTGAGATTTGCACAAATCTCACTGAGACATGCTGTATTCAGCAGAGATTTTATGCAAGCAAATACAGTAAAATGCAAATACAAAATAAAGCACAACAACCAGAAAGCATGTGGCTTGAATAAATCACAAAAGTTCCTTTATTTATTTCCATTTCTATGCCACCCCATAACCGGAAAGTACTCCGGGCGGCTATTATAACCATGTCTTTTCCAAGTGCCAGTTTCTACAAATTCCATTGGTAGTTAAAGATATGCATATCTCAGTCTCTCTTGCAGATGTAATTTCACACACTCACACAAACAATCAACTTGGCCTGTTTCTTATCCACTGGATTGGAAGTAGGATGGAAATCTGGCAATCTGGAAGTCTGATTTCCCCGTTTTCATACATCGTTGCTTTTCCTGCTCTGCCCCCCACCCCAACTTTATTAGAGCTTTTTAAAACCTAGAGTATCTTAAGGCTACTTTACCCATGTCCATTTAAAATATCTGGAATGTGCAGCCAGAAGTGCAACATTTGCATGAAGTTGCGACCATGTCAAATATACACTCACTGGCAACTCTTGGTCTGCTGCCCTAGGATGTTTGAAATGGCCCTTACTTCACATGTCCTCATTTGTCCTCCCATCCATCCAATATGAATATCTTCAAAAGAGAAAAGATGCACCAAGTCAACAACACTGTTGATTCTTACAAAGACAGCTGGTGCCCTTCAGGTGTTTGGGACAGTCCCAGTCAGCATAGCCAGTAGGTAGCAATGTCAAGAGTTATAACTCAAAACATCCACACAGGACCATGTTGAGAGAGGCTGAGTCATGTAATTACGGGCAATGGGGTGGCGGTGGCGGGGAGATGATGCAGGACTAGCCTAGGGGCAAGTGGGATGGAAACAAAGATCAGCAGTGGGAGATGAGGAAGAAATTTGTTCACAGATACATTGCCCCATGGGAAGATCTTCTGAAGAGCCTGGTTTAATCCCACTGCAACCCACACAGGGCACAATCCTCTGTGTGTTCAAACAGAAACACATCCTCCAACCCCTGGCATTCCCCAGCCAACCAGCCTGGGATTTGGAGGGCATTCTTCTGTCTAAACAGTCATAAGATTGTGCTCTTAACTTCAGGGCTAAATAGGCACGTGATTAGGCCCATTATCATAGACAGATGATGAAAAACTAAATGACTGGAATAACAGGGGGCAATAACATATCGGAATATGTGAACATATGGTAATATAAATGAAATGGCTAGGAACTAATACCTTGAATTACTATGTCATTAGACCCAATGGTCTACTTGGCCCAATGTGGGAACTGTTGACTTTTCAGAAATCCGGAACAAATGCCTTTGAAACCATTCAGGGCACTGTTCTCTCCTCCGCAAACCCAGATGCATCTGGATGGAAGAAACATTAGAGGTGATCTTCACCTCCCCATCCTCCCACTGTGTCTATTTCCCTAGAAGGGTTTTGTTGCCCATCTAGCAGTGGTGCTTCAGAGTTGTTGGAGATTCCTCAGGATAGCATAAATCTGGGCTTCTCTGGTCACCTCTCTTTTGCTGCCTGACAAAATGCTCCTATTTGGCCCTTCCCAAGGTCCTTTTTCTTGGAAGGAGTGATTCATGCAAGGGGACATGAGTTGATCTCCAGCTCCCCCTTCCAAAGCCAGAGTCCCACCTCTGCCTTTGGTGCGGGGAGTCCCAGAATTCTTTGACCCCTCAAACATTATCTAGGGGGCATAGGATTACTTCCCCTCTGTCCCTGGAAAGGAGCTGAAATGGGAGAATAGCCCACAGCCAATGGTTCAATAAAAGATGCTGAAACTGTATGATTAAATTTTAAATAGGTATTTTTGCACAAGCTGCTTCTTCAGCATTCTTGATAACATTTAAGATCTAATTGAGCCAATTACTGTCTGCAATTCAATACTTAAACACATTATAATACAGCAAGCAGAAAATTTGCTCTTCATGTGCATAAAAATAAAGTTTTGGGTAGGATGCATTTTTGACACTTTGCTAAACAATAATATCTTATCAGTAGGGGGAATATCTAATTTCCTTAATTGAATAGTAAACAGTGTAGAATAGGTATAGGATCAAAGCTGGGAATATTTACTTAGACATCAAACTGATATATCAATTAACTGCACCTGTTCAATTCATACAGGTCTCTAAAAATAAAGAATAGACTAGAATAAAGGGCATTTCATTGCTGCTCAATATACATTTTCTTCTTTCTATTGTATTATTGTATTTCTATATACATTGCTAAGTGGCCCTGAGAAAGTTTCTCTGAAGGTTGGGCCATAGCTAATTAAAATAATTCAATAAAATCTTGCGTCACCTATCAGGCATGTACCTGCTATGTCGTTTCTGATGGAATACAATTTGTTCAATACTATTTCTACTACCGCTTCTACACGATGTAGTTCTGGCAGCCATTGGTTATTCAGATGGAGTCCTCTATTGCTGGTCTCAAACAAACAATAGCTAATGACCCGGGTCACATGTAATGGCTTGTTACTGTGGATTGATGTCCCTGTTGCAGTTAAAATGCAAACTGTGGCAGGAGAACACTGTGACTGATCATTACATGCAAACCCAGCCATGGTAGGTTGTTGGGGAGGTTAATAAACTATCCAGAGAGTATGGCTTGCTTTAGCTTTGTGGTGGTTTGCTAACCACACCAACACACTCTGGCCAAGTCTGCACATAACAAGCTGCCGTGTTGCCCCACCACTGCATGCTTCACTGCAGCTTATGATTTCAAAATGGCAGCTGGCACCACAACAACAAACCCCACAAAGAAATTAACCCATGGTGGCTTGTTGAGACATACAAACCAGGTCTGTAGCTTGAGTATTTTCACAGTCCCTGCTGCTACCAGCTACTTCAACAAAGAATTACTGACAGTTTCTACAGGAAACTAGCAAAAAATCCAGGGTGTTTTTGTCTTACTTCAGCTATATAGTTGCACCTTCTCTGTCGCTAACATAAATATGACAGAGGAGACTATGTGGGAAGAGAAAGAATGTAGTGAATTTGGTAGAATGATAACTATATTCTCTATGAGTGTGTTTAATGCCTGTTGAAACCTATCCCAAGCTCATGACTATCACTACATATTACAATAGTAAATTCCACAGCTTAACTTTGTGCTGTACCTCCTTTGATCTGTCCTGCTTTTCTCACCATTCAGCTTCAGGGAAAGATCCCAGCATTCCAATAAAAAAAATGGGGAAGTTCAGATTTTGAAGGATACCTGAGTTATGGTTTGTCCATTTGTTAAAAATTATAGTAAATTAGGTAAATTTGCTTTAAAATGCAAATCAAGCAAATTTCTCCTCCATCTCTATGCAGGGAGCCCTCAGTGCTGAAAGTAATGTACAAGTCTGAATTTGTGTAATACTTCTTGTATGGAGAGGGCTTCTTGGATTTTGCTGCCTCAGCCAGCAGTATAGACTGCCTATAGAGTAGAGAGCAAGTAAATAACGAAACAATGAACATTTGCTTTAGCAATAATGAAAAAGGGGGTTTGTTTTTTAGCCCTAACAGCAAACAGATACTCAGTTTGGAAAGTGACAACATGGCTAATTCAGACTGGTTTCAGCATTACAATTTGCTGTAACACACAGTAAATTAAATACAGGAGATCACTTTCCACTCTAATTTTTAACTCAGACATTCTTCCATTCGAAAAACCTCCTTGCACTGTTTATGGTTCCACTTCAGTAACCCCTTATTCCAATTACTATGCGCAGAGACTCTGGTTGTTGTTTTTTAATCTTAGCATCATAGTAACAAAGAGTAACTTCTTATTTATTTATAGTAGATAGCTAAATTTATATGATATGCTTCATATTAATATTTTAGTATGTTTACCCTTTGGGGATTATTAAATGTTCATGTTGCTGTGCACTTGCCTCTTTTGAAGTTCAAAACCACTGAAGAGAGTAAGCAATTGTTATTTATCATGAGTGAGACAGTGGCATTTAAAAAGTAGATATTCCCAAGCATTACAGAAAAGACTACAGAACATCTACTGAAATTACATCTCTCAATAATAACAGAAGTGCAGCAGGGGAGGAAAATCGGTGCCCTCCAACTATTTTAGACTACACTGCCACAAGCTGCAGGCAGCATGGCCAATGGCTGGGGATGATGGAGCCGTAGCCCAGAACAACTCAAGGGTACCATATTGCTTATCCCTAGGGAAATGGGAAACATGTATGTTTTTTATTATTCTAAAGATAAAGCACACACAAAAGTAAAGGGTAGATCCTGGAGAAGAAGGGCAGGTAAGAAAAATAGCTTAATACATTATATTTGTTGTATTTCAATGCTACTGTGCTTTGGTTTAATTGAACTGTGGGTGTTGTGAGGTTTTATTGTGGGATTTTATTGTGTTTTATCACATTTTATTGTGGAGTATATATGTTTAATGTAATATTATTGTTTTATCATATATGCTGTTGCTATTATATTTGTAAGTCACCCAGAGAGCCATTCTGGCTAATGGGCAGAGTAAAAAATTAATGACTGACTGACTTACTGAATAAATATCAACACTCTGACTGTCAGTCCACACTCAGAGGCAACTTAGTAGCACAGAACCCAATAGTACATGTTTACATAATCATGTCCAAGTATAAGATATACATTTCTATCCTATTATGCAGGTACCACATTTCCTGCAACGCCCTCCAAATAAATCAATTTGATTACAGAATTGTGCACAATACTTACGTAGAGTCCTATTAAGGGGCCAAACTGCAACTATTTGTCACTGTGTTCTTTGAAAGGAAGGGAAGAGATCATGCCGGAATTATGGATCACAAACTCTGGGCTAAACTTCCAGACTGGCCAAACATGGTGGTCCTGCTCCCTTGCTGCAACAGCTGCTCTGGTTTACAGCTGCCCCCTAGAGGGATCTCCTTAGTCCTACCCAGATGCCAGATGTATATAAATCTGGCAACAAATAAGATTCACTAAACTGTTGCTCACAAGACCAAGCATCTTGCTCTGGTCACTGCCTGGTGGAACGTGTCTGCCTGTACTATGACAAGGACCAGCTTGAGCACGGCACTGCAGCGAACGTCACTGTGTTAGTTCCACGTTCCTTTGCCAGCACAGTATTTTCCAGGAAGATGTAAGTCGGGATAGCCTAGCAGCAATCCTTTATTCTGCATCTATTGACTGATAATCAACATGGAGACAGGAACTGAGGCTCACAATGGTTTCTTTGCCAAACCATTGTAGTGCGCATCCTAATTGTGGCATTTATTAGGAAGTCATAAGCAGAGCGAGAGAGAGAGAGAGTTCCTGTAGTGTTCTCCCCTGCTAGCAGAGTTGGCACTAAGCAAATGCTAATGCACAGATGTTTGGGGTTCAGTGTTGTTGTAAACAGAAATGTATGAGCAGATGGAAGTATTTTCCTAGCCTAGGAAACAGAAAAGAATCCTAGTGGATTCACTGTGATTGGGGTGAATGCTGGCATTTATTTATTTATTGTATTATCATACTGTCCTTCCCATTTTCCCAGAGCCCAGGCTGAAATTGTTTATTTTTGGTTTCAATTTTTTTCATTGAAAAATGTTTACTTTCAATATGTTACAAAAAGAAGAAACCCAAACAATGGCAAATTGCTTGAAAATGCATAGAGAGCTTTTTAAACAAAGAAATCTAAATAGAATCTAAACTTCCACACATCCTGAGGTAAAAACAGATTCGAGGGACTCAAAATGGCCCAACATGAGAATATTACCTGGGAGGGGAGGGGTTCCTAGAGTAGAGCCTTCCCCAACCTGGTGCACCCGACTACGTTGCCCATTGGACATGCTGTTTGGGAGTGATGTGAATTGTAGTCCAACACAGCTAAAGGATGCCACATTCAAGAAAAGCTGCCTTGGAAGATAAAAGAACCCCCTTTATGCTGCTCTCTCTACCCAATACAACCAGTATGGGGAATAGGAGAATTTTCCATCTTCCTGACTTGCCTCTGGCCTGAGGCTTGTTTGGGGAATGCAAATTCTGGCAATGATACCATCAAGCAGGGCCAAAGGAGCTCTTTTCAATGTTTAGCCTGAAATCTGTTCCAAATTTATTTAACACCATGAGGAAAGTGTTTCTAGAAACTGGTATGGAGGCCACAGAACAGCACCACTTACTAAAATGTCTTCTTTCCAACTTTATTCCTGAAATGTGTCCTTCTCAATAAATGTTAGGGCCGGAAGATAAAACATTAGAATACTCCAAACTTGAACACTTACCGATGGCTTGCTTTTTGATTTCTTGTCTTTTTCCTTAGCCCCCTTTTTGTTGCTGGTGAAGTAGTGCAAGGTGCCATATTCCACCAAGGCAGCGAAGACAAAAATGAAACACACAGAGACGAAGAGGTCCATTGCAGTCACATAGGAAACCTTGGGAAGAGACTTTCTTGCAATTGTACTCAGCGTTGTCATAGTCAGCACAGTAGTGATCCCTGATTGGACAAAAGAAGGAAACCATCTCACAAAGAAACCTTGAAACCACATATGGGTATCAGATTCTGAAGATCCCTGAACTATGGGTCATGTCTAGATCTACAAGGGAAAGACTATGAACTAGCTGCTAATGACTACAGCCGTTTCACTCTATCAGGGTACAAAGTCATGGAAACAAGGATCTGATCCTGGTTTTAATGATGCGCTTGAGGTATTTTAATTGGATTCCTTTTGTCAGTCACTTCAGGAGGCTGCTGACTGAAGAAAAGCAAGCAAATTAAAAGCAAAGTCCCAGCAGGCATCATTTTGCATGAAAATATATTGTTAGGATCGGAATAAGTTTCAGAATATTCCAAGGAATGCTGCATTTATGTTTTAAGGTCACTGATATCTCTTAGGATGTCATCATCTGCTAAGTGCTGTTTTGATTATAATTATTATTATTATTTAAAGCTCTTGCATAGATTTTGGATCTAATTTGCATTCATGTACTTCTTTAAAAATTAAGGTATATTGTATGGTGTTTTTCCGGTAAGCAGCTTAGAGGGCCTTGTGGATGAAAAGCAATATATATAACTATGAGTAATTACAGGCACTTATCATGGTAAAAGGGGTAGCATATTTATTTTTAGAGGAATATATTTCACCTTTATTGTACCACTCTGTCCTTGACAAACAAGCTTAATAGCACTAAAGATGTATGGCCCTGTACCCACAAGCAGTTATCCCAACACAACAGCCTTTCCGACCCTGTTGTTTGGTGATTTAACCTAGAAGGCCAAAGGAAGCTCAGACAGGAGTAAAGCTATGCATGCATTGCTGAATGACCAAATATACAAACACAAAGACTATATACAATGACACAAACTATAGTTACCACTGAATGACCAAATAGCAAGTTGCCTGGCTCAATTTGCTTAGTGTGGTTTGTGTTAAAAAAACAAGACCACATGGATGTTAACCTGTGTGGAATGACTTCTGCATTAAGTGCCTTTAGTTCGCAGTCTGTTTTGTCTCTACATATAGCTCAGGCAACTAATTTGGAGTGTCACAAAAGGAAAGGAACGTTATTTAATTTATGGTTATTTTATTGTAACTACTATGGACTAGGAGAGGTACAGTAGAATGTTTTGCCTCAGGTACCAAAAAGAAAGGAAAAAACAAAGGCCAGTCTTAGGATACTATTCACTTTGTGTTAAGGGTGGGGGGCATTTGCTGCTTTGCTTAAGGCAGCAAAAATATATTGGGCCAGTGCTTCAATTTGCTGTTGATCTTGATCTGAACCCAAACTTGATCTGAACCCATTGATAGCGGATGGGGTAAAAAGGAAGAAAGAATAGGAATTTGCAACACAGGGCCTGTGCAACATGGTGCCCATGAATACCTCTCATGGTGCCTGCCAGACTGGCTGAGCCTTCTGATTTTTATTAGAGTCCTTAAGTTATTAAAACTTTTTGTGTTTAAAAATTGGGGCCTGCAAACATACAAAAACTGTATGTTTGTGTTTTGGAAACAGCACCTACCACTGCCTAATGCTTAGGTTCTTGGGCAAATTACTGTTCATTTAGTCTCATCTGGAAATGTGCATTCTGTGAACCAGCTTTGCGTACCATGGTAACCCTTTGACTGGGCAAGGCGGCCCCCTGATGAAACTCTCAAAATTCCAGATGTGCTCACTGGCCCAAAAAAGGGTGGAGGATGCCTTGCATACGATAGTTGAAATATTCTCCTGTGACTATCAATATGAATGGCTGAATCAGAGGAAGGAGACTTTAATTGAGATCATTTCAATACACTGTAATGTTGGAGTCTCTCAACAACCCATGCACATTTTCCTGATGATCTGCAGAACTTGAAACCATACCCACCGCAGTCTCAGCCACACTGCCACCAATTTCATGCTGCTTACAGGACAGGTGTACAGTCTGATGTTTTCTAGGCTGGTCCAAGATTTCTTTCAATCCTGATGAAGTTATACATAACAATGCACTGATTTATGCATTTGTTACCTGCTAGATTTATATATTGGTTCCATATTACAAGTTCTCTGGACAGCTCACAGAACAAGCTCAGTATTAAATTGCAATCTGAAACAGTAACAACTGCTAAAAGCTAAGACACAGTGAAAGCATGGGGACTTGTGGTTAACGTGGTTTGGAAGAGCACAGGTACCTAGTGATGTCCTTGCAGGCACTGCATCTTTATTAATCCAGAATGAGACCCAGGAAAGAACAACAGTCAATATGCAAGGAATGTAAGTCTGTATGGTAAAGTATCCCATACGTCTGCTCAGAACGAAGAAGATTGTCATAACGACATAATCTCCTGCAAGAAAAAGCATACGGTCAATCAAGTCATGAAACTGAGCTCCAGTTCCACTTTTCTTGCTTCCCCCCACCTCCCACAATAACCCCTTCTGTGGTCAAAAGTTTCTACCAGGTAAGAATTCTCTAATCAAAATGTCTGGTTGCTTTATGGATAAATGTGGAAACTGGATCTTTGAAATGTAACAAGTCAAATTAGTCCAAATGAGGCTGCACATAATTGGAGTGATGGACGAAGAAATTACTTTCTCCTTCTGCTCAAGGGGAACCCTCCAGTCTCTATACAGAGGACTGGGGGACCCTGCTGAATGGAGAAGGCTCTGGGGCAAGGGAAGGCAGAGACCTCTCTAAACTCAGCAGAAAGGCTTTCTACAAACATGCCTATACCCAATTTTGGGAGATACTCTCTTTCCCATGTGCCACAGCCCACAGTGTCCAGCCAGATTCCCACTCATCTGTTAGTGTAGGGTTGGGGCTTGAACAGCTGTCATGAGCAGGTGGGGATTGGGATGTCTGGATTCAAATATATATGTCTGAATAACTTGCCTAAGATGATGCAGTGATCTATGCTTTTATGCTGTGTGAACCAAAAATAAAACTTAGCAAAAAGGGAGAGGGAGGCAATTGTACATTTAATTAATTTTGTTACTGGTAGGGAGGGAGGAGGGGTTCTGCTTACTGGGTTTTTTCCCTATTTCTTGTCATGAAACTCAATAAAAGCCAGACATGCACAAATAAATATTCCAGTGTATAACCCCAGAAGTATCAGCTACAAGGAAAACTCTGGTGTTTCCTTACCAGACTGTGTATGGGAGATATCTGTTGTATTTCGTAACCCTACAAATGCAAACTGATACAGTCTCCAGTATTTGGGATCTGCAACTTCAACAGAGGATTTCTTCCACTTGTATACTATTTCATTTCTTGGGTATCCATCTAGAAAATAGCAGCACAACATGTGTGCCAAAAATCAATTACAGTGCCACAATAAACATTTGCAGTAATCCTAGCACAGAATACTTTGGTGTTCTGTACAGGAAGAGCCCTGGCTGCAGGGAAGCAGCTTCTAATTAATATGGTGCTCCTTGTCACGGTACATTTGATCTGGGCTGCATCTACAATATGACTTAGGCAGTGCCAGCTCAAGATGGTGGTGGTACAGACAACCCCCAACCCCTTCACTCAGCCATCATACTCCCTCACTGGTTGTCGTCTTCCTCTTCATTTCATCTTGCTTGTCCAGCAGAAAGTCAGGGAACAGGCAGGTAGTTGCAGGTTAGGGATGCTGGAGAAACAAGTTTTGATTTCTGCAAATTCAAACGAGTTTTGATTTCTGCAAATTCTGCAGCAGAGTCTGTAGTCATTCTCATTCATGCAGATTCCACAGACTTGCTGATCAGCTATTCACAGGGGTGGGGTGGGGGGATACACTAATATGCATTAGCCAGAATGTTCTAATGAATATTAGTCAATGCAAATTAGCACTGATGTGCAATAACTAATGTATATTAGAACATGCAAAATGAACTTCTGGTTAAAAACTCTGGTTCCATCAGTGAGTAGTAGGTGGAATGAAAGACAATCCTCAAAATATAGATGGAACAGAGTTCTTCAAAATCCTGACTACAGCAGTGACTCTCACCGTGACTTCTTGCTTGCTTGCTTCCTGGTTTTTCCACTCCCTTTGAGCAGGGCAAGAGTGGGGTGAAGAAACTAATTGACAGTGTCAAGAGTCCCTTCAGATGAAACACAGCTGCCTAACCAGTCTGTCTCTGTCCAGAGGGCCACAAAGATAGGCTTGATGGCATTTGGACAATGCCCACTAGTCAAAAGGAGTGGCCAAAGAAGATTCCACTACTTAGGAGTAGGGTTTTAATACCCTGAGGAGCACCTTGCTACTTCACATTAAATAGAAAACCCTAAAATATTATTCAGAGCAGACTGATGGCTGAAGTATGCGTGCCAATTATGTATAATTTACAAGCTACATTCAGAAATTGTTCTCTGTGCCTTCAAAACTGTGTTGTGGGTCAGGAGGAACAAACCAAGGTTGCCACTGCTCCACCCCTCCCACTTCCACATGTTCAGTAGAAGCTCAGGAAATGATGCCCGAATCAGAAACCCAGGACTCACACTAGACTCCTAGGCTTACAGGGAATGCTGCACACATTCAGCTTTTTTGCAATGCAAGGAGAATAGATTGTGGGGACGGCAATGTAGAACCTGGCCCAGATTCACAGAGAGGAATTTCTGAGCAGGGCTCCAGGTTTCAGCTTCTGTTGTTAACGAAATTTCAGTACATAGTCCTTTCTTGTGCATTGTACACAGTTCCCTCCACAACCTCAGTCTTGTTGAGTCTAGTTCATGTCAACTAGAAGCAGTTCAAATGAGGTTCATGCCCTCTTCTTCTGCCTAAATGTGTAGCTAGTGAACCTGCAGATATTTCAAACAGAAATGAGAGGATATCCCTCACTCTGTTCTTTTACTGTTCCTCTAATTTGCTATGCCCTATATTCTACTCTCCCAAATTCTGTTTTTATTATGAGAACTTATAAAATTACTTCCAGATCTGGAACATCTTCCTTCAGTACATTTTTCTCCTGTCCCCTTCCCATAAAGTATTGCCACACATTGATCAAACACTGTAGAAAAGTTGTTTTATTGGACTGCAGGTATAACTGCATCAAGATTCCTTCTGTGTGGAGTTTTACCAGTGTATACATGCGCTCCTGCACGAGACGCTACAGAAAAAGAATCTGGATGTGCTACATTACATCAAGCTTGCCTTTTTGTTGTTATAGTGTTTGATGAATAGGCACATATGCATCAGTAAAACATGATACCTGAGAAAGTATTTGCACAGCATAAATCCTGAAAGCTCTTTCAGCTGAAATATTGGAGTATTGGAGACAAACCAATAAATTATCTTTTAAAGAGATACACTCGTTACATTTCACCCCCTATTAAGTTTAACATTTAGAAAAGAAATTGTTTAGATGTACTCAGTGATTTATAACATAACAGTGCTATGTCACTGCAAGCAAATTAATTTTATACACTTATTACAATTTATACAACTGGATATAATTCTAAAAGCCACTGAAGCTAGAAATTTTGAGAGAAACATAGGTTCAGTGGGAACAGTTCAAGGGATCTGAAAACAATCTATTAGCAATTATTATATTACTAATCATATATGAATGGATCTTGTGCCACAATCAGGAACAAATAATTGTGTATAACAGTTCACAACCTGGTGCCTTCCAGATGTTTCGGGCTTTCATCTGCCCTAGTAAGCATGGCCAATGCTCAGGCATCCTGGGCATCCTAGTCCGAAACATCTAGGGTGGGAAAAGCTGTTCTAGGGTCTTTGGTGCCATCTAGATGTTCCATTCACAGCTCTAATCATCCCAAGCTAGTTTATATTATTTCAGTGTTGCTTTATTGTCCATGGTGCCTGAAGATAGTAGGAGTTGCGGTTCAAAGACATCTGGAGGGCACCTGGTTGAGGAAGGCTGGCAATGATTACTCATTGATTGGTGTGGGACATTTGTCTCAGCTCAGAACAGAAACATTTCTTCCAAGGTAATCCACAAGCCATGTTCAGCCAGAATACTTGGATGCAGGCAAATTTCAGGGGAATGGTCAAGGAGGCAGGACAGATATTTCAGGTTTACAAGTTTCAGATGAGCCCTTATTTGCTCTGGATCCTGCTGAGCATAGAAGATACAGGACACTCCCCGGCTATTGCAAGGACAGGCCTGCCTGAAGACTGAAAGGGCAATACGAAGAGTATGGTACCTGGCTCCAAGCACCAAAGTATCAATTTAAGATCCTCAAAACTAAGCCCCTATGTAACTTTAATGCCAAAGAAACTAAAGAATATTGTCTGGTAAATAGCTGTGAACTCTGTTAAACATCTTTGTTTCCCCACCCCACTGCAGAACTACAATTCTTAGGCATCTCTGTGGGAAAAGGAAATACTGTTCAGTTCATATAAGGCAAGTGTAGCCATACTTGGGAGAAAGATCCATTGAAATAGGACATGTTTCTTAGTAAACAGAATGGGGTTGGACTGCCAGTGTGTTGCTACCTAGGGTGCCATATATGAGCTGCAACAAATAAACTATGCTTTAAAATGGCTTAAAAACAAGTATTCATCTGTAAATTGGTTACCTGCTGCTATCTTCCATAGCGGTGATTCACATCTATTTCCATGGAGTTAGATTCAGATTTAGTCATGCTGTGATTAAGGGCACAATCCTATGTATACTTAGAAAAATAAAAAGTACTTCAATGTGTTTGCTACAGAGTACTGGGAGTTGTAGACTTTTTTTCTGTCTAAATCTGTATAGGACTGTGCCATAAACACACTGAAATTAATTGAACAAATAAGGCAGGACTAACTTAAGTCCTATTGATTTCAGTTTGATGTTTATAAGAATTGACCAAAATTTGCAATGATCTCCATATACAGGGCAAAAAGGACTTGAGGTTTAAAAAATTAAAAAAAAAATAAATATTGGATGCAGGAGTAACTGAAATCGGCTGATTCGTCCATTCAAGTGCATGGCTTTAAAGTGGTGACCTCTTAAAAGTGCTGGCATGAATTCCTGCATATTCAACCATGCTAGTGTTTACCGAGGGTCACCACTTCTTTTTCTGACACACTTACCTTTAACAGCCAGTGGTGCAGAGGTAAATTTTGCAGTGCAGTCCTCATAGTCATGCCCCAAAGAGAGTCCAAAATTACAGGCAGCTGTGTTGATCTGTATCAACAAACCTGTTCTTAGATGTTTTCAGCTGCTAGGATCAGATATTTTGTAAAGCTAACAGGCAACTGCCCATTCACAACCAAGCCACCCCAAAATACTTTATATTGAAACAAGGAACATTATACTGTTGCTGGGTAAATTCATTTCGACCCAGAAACTCTGAGGAATGCAGCTAAGCTCAGAGAAAACCATGCATTCTGAGGATGGTGGCACAGACTATCAGCTAATAGAAAAGTGCCGGTGTGACATCCTGTCACCCCTGGTTCCACTACACCACTGTTAACAGTTCTATGGCAAGGCAGGCACAAGATGGTCGTCTTTGGGCTGGAAATTGCTGTACCAAATATGACCAAATTCAGTAAGTACAGCTAGATCCAGCATGAAGAAGATTTCATTTTGTTACTTCTCAGATGGTTCAGAAATTTGTTTGGTTTTGATAATAATTAAGCAAAATTGCAAACTTCTTCATATGCAAGACAAAAGGAACTTGCGACTTAGAGAATATGAAAATACTGCTGACAGATTGCTTTCTCTCTACTGGAGACCCTAATAGCTGTGAATTATTAGTAATGAACTCCCTTAATATGTGCAATTGGGCAATACCTTTCTGAGTACCAAGGAAATTCCATGAAACAGTGCAGACTTTTAAGTTCTGCAGAACTCCTTAATGTGGCTTATAATCCATCCATATAAAAGTCATGGACCTGTGTAGAAGATTTTAGTCCTTGAAGACTTTAGTGCTATGCAATGGGCTTTCACCAGTCATAAATTATTTCATCTAAATTGGAAAAAAGGTGATATGAGACACCAAAAGACCATGCCATTTCAAATGCAACCACTCTGCAGCCTGTTAATCAACAGCAACTGAACTGAAAATGGGAGAAAGATATTAAATCTTTTACCACCTACAGCTTGAAAACTCCAGCGGACAGGAATGTTCATCCATAGGAAAGTTATGAAGCTGAAGGTAACATTCAGCGTTAATCGTCAACCTAGTTAGAAGGGGGAAAAAGTGTTACGAATGGAAGCAGTCAGACATTTTAACTAACATTCTTCTTTTCAGTTGTGGTGGACTTCCCAAAGGGTACCAGAAGTTGCTTTTGAAATGCCCCCATCCCCAATTCGAAAAGTAGTTTCTCATGAGTAGGTACAGAACGGCTGCTTTACCAAAGACACAATGCACAGTCAACAGGCACAGTTTGCTATCCCTGGATTTATACAGCTTTCTAAGTGTTGTATATTCCAGGCAAGACAAATCTATGTAAGAGAACACCGATGACTGCCTCTAAGGACCATCTGCATGGTAGTGGTAGCATAATGTTGAAAGTGCAGAGAGAGCAAGGAGATTGACCATGAAAGAGACTGACAAATGTGTTGGACAGGCCTGTCCTGGTGCTTTTCTTTGCTGCACAAAGCTCGGCCGGTGTTATTGCCATGGGAGCTACATAGCCAATTGCTCCTTGATATATGATCATCAAAGGAACATTCTGAAAAGGAAAAACCAATCAGGGAAAAGGGCTGATTCTCCTCTGCCATATAGCTTTGACCCGGCTAAAGATGAAATAATCAAAGTTTATATGTGACGAGGAAAAAAAGAAAAGCAAAACCTTGCAGCCTAAAGTGAACTGACAAAGACACACAGGAATGCTTGTGTTCATACAAGAAGAAAAAAGCACACACAATTCGTTTGGAGATATTCCATGGGTTGTTTTAATACTTCTCTCTTTCTTGTTGCCTCTAAGAAAGCCTAGCAGATAGCTCTGTTGATAAAGCCAGATCTGAGCAAAATTCCTCAGATAATCCTTTTTTTTTTCCTGAACCAATTTTGGTGGTCAAAAATTTCTGCTTCCTTCTCTGCCATAGGGTCATTTTGCATATGCATGCAGACACTTAGTAAGACCTACAATGGTCAGTTAAAGCCAATTTAATTATAAGAGGTTCTCTCCCTTGTGAGTGTGCTTGTGCGTGCACGCATGCGCACACACTGATTTAAGCAAATAAATGGAATGACCACCCTATTAACTCCGTAGTAATTTTATTAAATTTACTTCTGAGGCCCCAGAGCAGGTATTCATCTACAAATACCTGTCACACCTGATGAATGGAACCAATAAAAGTGTGAAAAACTCTATCTCCCCTCTTTCATGCCCTGAGGGACAAGAGTAGAGTCTCTGATCTCTGTTATGAGTCAAAAGAGCCAATGATGCTAGAGCGGCATTTGCAACTAGAAAAGCTTGAAATATGAACTCCTGCAGCTCAAATAGGGTTATCCTATTTTGAGCAAGGCACAAATCCCTTTGCTTTTGGCTTGAAATGGGGAGCTGAACAGTCCTTCCTTCAGTTCCCCAACTCTCTCCCCAAGCCATTGACCTTTGCATCTGAAAAGAGGGGAGGGTAGCCAACAGCTAGGAGAGTTCACCTGAGAGACTTTATCAAACTTATCAAGCAGAAGGATGGCCTTATCAGCTGGGCACAGTGGGGATTGTTGTCCAACAGCAAGAGGGCACCTGTCTGGGGGAAGGTGATCTAGAAATCAGTAGGACTGAGGAGTCCTATGGAAATTTCTTCTAACTCCCACCCAAGGGGTAGTGGAATTCCATGCCCAAAATAAGAGAGGGGCAACTTAAATGTCGCCTAAATTGCCACAGTCCCAAACTTAATTGGGTCCACACATGCTTTCACTAAAGGAAGCCAGACATACCTACCCAGCTGTGCTATGCATGATGAACCGAGCATTTGGTTCAGCCCTGACATACTCACCTAGACATCTGATGCTGCAAATCGTATCCCCTGATCTTCACAGAATTTGCTTCCAGGCAAACAAACACAGCATCAAGAGATAATGCCCCCACTGTTTCTAATAGGCCACGAAACACTTAAGTTGCACCTATGCAGAACACAGCATTTTGGGATGCAACATAGGGAAAGATTTTACCAGGGTGTCTAGCTAAAATTTTGTTCCTCAAATGGATCACTTGGGCCCCATGAGCTGGCTATTTGTGGCTGGGTATTCAACAACTACCCCTATATCACTCAAACATGTATTATGCAGAGCTGACTCCCTTAAATTTAAATTGCTCACTTCTAAGTCTGGCAACACAGAAAGAGCCACTGGCTAGGGTTATAGGAGGCAAATAAGCCAATTAGCACCTTGACAGCAAAGGGGCAGGTTGAAAATTGACGGCTTTCAGCACCTCCCTTTGGCCTCCCATGGAAACAAAGGGAGGACGCAAGAGGTGGCTGAAGGACCAAACAACCTGAAGCACTGACAGGTCCTGCTTTCCTTGGTCACTGCCATCCGAACATGGCTTCACTTTCAGAAATGTTCTCACCAAGGTCAAATCCAGGCCAATGTCTTTCCGCTCTACACACATATCAACTTCAAAACTACTGTATTCATGCTCAGTTTAAAACCTCATGGGCAACCCTGTACCTTAACTTATAAAGTGCATTAACCCCTCATTACTTAGCAGCAGAGTGAAAGAACCTAGGCAGGTCCCTCCAACTGGAGGAGAGGCAGAGGGTTGTTCCATCAGGTACCTTTGTCATCTCATCTCCTTCACCTGTCATTTCAGGTAGCCAGCAAACTAGCCCAAGTGTTTCTATTGCAGCAGGTTGTTGCAAAACCAATCCCTTTAAGGACAGGTACATAGATAGGTCCTTTTCTTCTCCCCCCACCAGGTATTTCCTTTTGACTTCATCTTTTAGAGTGAAAACCTGAGGACATGGACTGTCCTCAAGTGCATTGACTTGTAAGCCACTCAGGATGAGACTTTTTGGATGAAAAGTGGTATTAACATGCTCCATTAGTATGTTTATCTGTTGCTTTGCAGAGCAGCAGCAAAGTGCTGCTTTTCCTGTCCCAACATGCACTGTAGTGTGCCCTCAAAGAAAATAATTTGGGCTAGGAAAGAAGATGGGATGCTATACCATGGATGAGGTGCCGGAAACAAGGGCTGCAAAAGTGATCTATTTATTGAACAAAGACGTTACCTGCTCTGTGTGTCATGTTCATTCTGCAACAGTCCTGTCGTCAGCTAGCATCCCTAATGGTCAAAGCAGACATTACTTTAAATCTGTGTCTAACCACTCTAGAGTAGGGACAAGAGTAGGTTTTGATCAGGATGCTAGCATGGGAATAATGGGAAGAATTTTAGGGTTTGGATCAGGCCCTTTGTGCTTTCTCTGACATAAAAGTAAACAGAAGATACAGATTTAATTTAATGTCTGTTTTGGCCCTAGCACTAAATTGTGATTGCATTTTTTAGCAGTATTCCCTGGATCTAGCGGCATTTACTTTTAAGTAAACATGCATAGATATGGGCTGTTAACTTCTGTGTAAGGGATGCAGAAGGTCATACAAAAAGCTTCCTCCATAGTTTTTTCAGAATTCTACACAGAATATTTTGCTCAACTGCTTATTTAGATGCTAATCCTCCTACACATACTTATTGAAGTCATCTCAATTGAACAAAACAAGACTTGCTTTTAAATAAACATGCACTTGAAAAATGAACTGCTGAATCAGAACGTAAAGATTAATTAATGGGAAATAATTGTGAATAAAATCTGTGTTGCTCCTTTTTTAAAAAACAAACACCTGTACCTTAGCGTATATAATACTCGTCCATCATTCCAAATTCGAAGCAAACGGTTGGGAGTTGTGATCCAATGGGCATCTGATTTCCTTGAGTTTCTGAAGAAAGTGTCTGGAATCCAGATTTTTCCAACCATGTTGCTATTCAACATTAGTACTTTCATGGTGCTATTAAATTTCAAACGACTGTCATACCAAGTCTGGGCAAAAATGATGTCTATGGTATACTCCTAAGAAAAGAGAAATGATAATTTTAGCATAAAATGTTAAGCTGAAAACTACACAGAAAACAACACTGAAATCCATGATTAGAATCTGAGTCTATATTTTGCGCCTTGCACCCCCAGAGCACCTCAGGCAGTAGTCATAAAGGCTTGTTTTGCAAGATACATCATCAATGGTATAATAACAAATATTGTATTTCATCTAGCTATGCCAAGAGTGAACACAAAAGCAGCTGCACTTCAGATATCAAGTGTCTACTTTGTGTTTTGGGGCATTGGCCTTCAATCATGGAGAATGAGCTGATCTAAAATGGATTGCACCACTGGTGCCACAGCCCCCTTCATGAGAGAGACAAAGAGAGAAGATGAAAGGAAGCATACACTGAGAGACTAGGAATGGGGAGAAATTCATCCAGTTCACATTTTAATGCAAACTTAATGAAGTGTGACTTTTGAACTACCTGAAAGCCAAAAGTTAGCCCTTAAAATTGCACTACTCTGAAATTTGCAACACATACAAAAATATATCTCCTATGGAAAATAACTCCCAAAAATGCATTTTGTGTTGGGAATTGCTTGTGACAATGCGTGCATTAGGCAAAATACATCAAATGTTTTTATTCAGAGAAATGTGTGTAAAATGCTTACTAAGGTTCATGCAAACTTAAAAAAACAAAAAAACAAAAATCTGGGATAAATCAAACTTAAGACTTGATAAATTCTCAAAGTTCTATCTAAACCAACCAAATTTAAGATTGGAAAAAAATCTGAAACAGGGAGAACGTGAAATAGAAATATTTGTCCATCCATATGCAAGAAGAGATTAGAAAGGAAAGAGAAATGAACAACTTTCATAAAGGTGAACTAAGACACAGTCTAAAAGTGGTATCCAGATTACAGGTTCTTTCCTAAATGAGGAGAGATTGGAAGTGGTCTACCTTCATTTTCAGGATTTAGTATTCTTTTAACATTTATGGTTTTGGTGGTCCCCACAGGTCATCTCAGACTGGTCCCCCTGGCCCAAGGGCCGATGCAGACCGAGCAGCCCACATGGCTCACTCTTCTACAAGTAGCCGCATCCTGGAGAAAAACATCCACTCCCCAATTTAAAACTACATCACTGAGCAAGGGATCACAGCAAACTACTGTCTAGAGAAAGGATGGCATTTGATATTCGCTGATAAACAGAGCTGGTTGTCAAGGCCTGTTAGTTTTAGTTAGAATTTGGTCAGTAGCAGTCTGGACTATCTTTAACTTGTTAAGCCTGGATTCACATTACATAGAAGGTGAATAGCAGAATACTGCATTGGTACTGATACCACAACCATGAAACCAGTTGCCAAGAGAGGCCCTGGGATCTTCCACACTAAAGACACTCAGGGTGAGATGGACAGTCAGCTGAGTGGGATGGCATAACCCGGTATCTTACACCAGCAGGGGGCTGGGCCCAATGGCCTACTTAGCCTCCTCCTGTGAATCTCTGTGGTATACAGCTTATGTCAGGTCTTTCCCTTGACTCCCTGTCCTTGATAGCTTGTGATAGATGTCCTTCAGAGTCATTCTGCCCTTGGCTTCTAACTCTTGAACCAAAGATTACAACTAGAAAAAAAGTTATCTGAATCTCTGACTCGTCTGTAGTTGTTAAGTTTGAAATGCTGTGAGAATACTGTTACGCCTATAGCAACCATTACCTGCTGTACATATTCCTGAAGCTGCAACCATTAAGCTTTTGCCATAAGAATCCTTATAATAAAAGTTTTACCGATATCGAGTGTAAGATTGCCACTGTAAGTTCTGCAGGCCCCAAATCCTGACAATGGTTTGCGTAGCTATGCTTATCATGCGGCCACTATGAAACAGGATTTTATTCTCCGAGTTTTCATGCAATACCTTCAGAGAACACCAGTATACAGGTTTAACTGGGAACCAGGAAAGGTGTCCACCCTGGTGCTATTCCTTCCCCCATAGCTTACAGGTGCTGACAGATGGCCAGTGGCAATGGCGCACAGTGGTGAAAGGTGCAGCAGCTTTATCCACCAAGTACTCCCTGGGCCAGTGCTGGGATAAGACGTACCAGGCCAGGCAGATATTTTCATTTCCACCGAATGCCTCACACCCCTGAAGTGGGGCTGCAAAGGGACACCATCTTTTAGTGCATGACCTGGAGGCACTGGGCATGTTAAAAATTATGGAGGGTGCAGCAGCCTTGCCCAGCACTTCAATTATCAGTGCCGGGGCCAATTTTTCTTTTTTCTTTTTTAAGGATTCTTTGCATCAATTGTGGTAAGTCCTCTGGGACATTTTCTTTCTGCACCATGTCTGCTGTTTGTTGCCATTTTGCTAGGCTTATCGAGTGATAGCTATCAACCAGAGAGGTGTGAAAAATGTGTTTGAGCAGAATTTACATAGTTTGCACCTCCCAGAAATCAACACAGATCCAAATCTGTGGTCCAAACTTGTATGTTCATGAGTTTGTGATTCAATTTGCAGGGGTGGGGGGACTATACATTTGAAAAATGCACATAAAATGTGTACTTTTAGAATAAAATGAGTACATACTTTATTGAATGGGCAGAAACGAAACATTTCAAAAATGCACCCAAAATACACATATTTTGAGCAACCCTGCCCACCATTCCCAAAAAGCAAAGCTAGCAATCTGATCTGGATTCAAGGTAGAATTTGGAGAACCTCAACCTCAAGTTTTCCTAATCCACACAGAGCCTTCCGGAAAGTTCAATACAAACCCTGTTAAAATGGGTTGCATGTCTCCAAATTCCTGATGGACTCTGCTCGTTTTTGTACCTGATTGGTTGATCACACATTTAATCTTGGTAGAGCTATGTATAAGATCTAGGTACTGATCCCAGAAGATGCAAAGCTCTTTCTTATGTGACAAGTAAGAGTACACAGTAGGAGTAGAGACCAAAGCTAATATATTCTGGCTGCTTTGCCACCGATCGTTTCTACAATGTGAGAAAATGATGTGAAGAAGCACATAAAAGGGCCTTCCATCACAATTGTGATTGCACAGAAAGATATTTCATCATCACCATCCTCATCATTTCTATAATGCCCATAGCTGAAGCGCTCTCACTGGTTTACAAAAAGTATAAGAACAATAAAATACATGAAAATATATGAAAACAGCTGGATGCCAAATTCTTCAAAGTCAGCTTCATTCAACTGCATATCTGGAATCTAATTTCAGACATCTAATACAAGTAACATGTCTGAATTTTATGTATGCAAACTGATAAACTCTCCATGCTTGACATGGTTACTTTGTTTCTTCTTTTCAAGAAGCTGGATTTTAATAACAGCTTTTAATACAGTCGCAGCAGATCTAAAGGAAAACACACGTCATTTCGATTTCACTGCAGAATCTTGCTGTGACTGCCAAATCACTTTTGTATATGCATGTATTTCTAAGTTACAGTTCCTGCCAGCGTTTCTTGTCCTGACCTGCAGTTTGAGCCATTTTCCTCCTTTTTACTTTGATGGGCCAAATCTTACCCAGGTCGTGGACTATACCAAATACAATTGCTCTTAGCTTCATACTGGGAACACGGCACACCCTAGACTGGGGACAGACCTCATTACATCAGCTGCACACAGGAACCGATCTCATACCAGTCCACCTAGCTCAGAACTGTCTTCTTCAAATGCGCACAGAAGCATTTTGTTTCATTCATGTTTTACTGCTCTTGGCTTGCTCACATTTCCCAAGCAAATACGAGGCTTGGAACACAACCATCCCCCAGACTGTCTGAATTTTGTGAGGTTCTTGGCTCCAAATCTGCATGCAAAAATGCTTGTTTTAAGGGAATATGTATTCCATCTATTTGTTAAAGCCCAGGCTTGTGCACAGGGCTGGTATGGAATAGAGATATGACTGAACCCATGTACAACTGATACAGGCCAGAAATAAACCGATCCATCCATCCTTATTATCTGGTCTGATTGGCACAGGCTCTTAGACATCACCAAGGAATGAACTTCTATACACGAACCGTGTGCTCCACTGATGTCTGTGTATTCCCGTTTCATCATTATTCCATTCCACCACCACACACGATGCTACAATGGGTGGAACATCCATGTAGCTCTGGGTGCACATCACCATTCAGCAGTGAAATCCATTGCATGAACTTGGGCTAGTCACTTTCTTTAAGCCTGACCTATCTCACATGGCTATTGAGACGATCAAGAGGCCACTGGCTTGCATTCTTTGGAGGAAAGGAGAAGAAAAATGTAACACCACTGAATGTTAGCGGAAGAGTCAGGATTAAGGATACCCAGAAGGATTCGGATGCGTGTGCAATATCCACAGCTTATGTGGAGTGTGTACGCAGCAGACCACAGTCCTTGGTGATATTATACTGAAAAGTGGATCCAAGGCACAAAAACAAGCTTGGGGACTCTCACCTAGTTGCACTATATGGGGGAACTCAAAGTCCAGACATCTGACTAACAGCAACCAGAAAAATGTGGTTAGGCTAGGAATGTTTCCATATTGCAACAGCCTCTTGCTACTCTGTGTGCCATGCCTTTGAAGGCACATTGCACATGCCGTTTCTTTGCCTGCCTGTACATCCAAGTGTACCACTACCTTCCTATAAGTATCATTTATGCAAACAAAACCAAACCCTGAAAGGATGCTGCTGGGGGGACGACGACGACACAAAATTTGGTCTGTGCAACTGGTGACTGTGCCAGGAATATGTGGTGATGGAATGCTGTGGATATTTTCAACAGAATGAATAAAGAACTAAGAATAAAGAACTAAGTGGGTTCTTTTTTCAAGTCCGTATAAGATTCTTTTACAGAACTAAGAGCAAGCAGTGAAATACTCTGCACAGAAATTTGCGACATTCAAGATGATCCATAAAATTCTGCCTCGATGCTAAGAGGTATACAGAGTATTGGATCTGGTAGCATGCGCAACTGACCGGGTCTTCTTGGCATTGACCCCCAAGACTAAGAAACTCCCTTCCTATTGGCAC